TTGTTCATGTATTTAACGAATAGATATAATGCAATTTTTCAGAATTTGTCCTTTTCACCCATCAGAGCTGATAAAGGAAAAGTCTTCAGCTTCCATTTTATGACCAGTTGATTGATGTACAGCGCTTTGTCCCAAAAGCTGCAACATAAAAAGACCATCATGATACAGACAATTTTAAATGTCAATTTCTGTTATAATTATTTAGTTTAATAAAAATCATGTCATAGTAAATATTTCACCCTGTCTGTTTAGTGTTGACAATCTGCAATCTGCTCCCTTTCTCAGCAAGTTATTACCAAGAAAAACAAAGGGATAAGAAGGTCACAGCATCAGGGATAATGAACATCTCTGACCTATTTTTGGCTTATTATCTGAGTTTTAAATTATGCTTTCTTGCATGATAGTAGTAATGGGTAAGAAGGACTTGAAATTTTGTCACTATGTTTGATAGTAATTTATATTTTTCAAAAAACAATATAAATTACTTGTTCGTTGCTGTATTTGGCTACTTTTATCTGTTTTATCTGTTTTTAGAATTAAAAAATAATGGTAAAAAAAAGTATAGGTGAAATATTGCAACACAGAGTTATGATTAATAAGCTCTGGAAAAATCTGTTATTGCTGCCATTAATAATTTTATAGATAATATTTAGGATCATTGCCCTTCCATTTGTTTTCTAATGGACCAAATAATGAATGCAAGCAGGTCACTAAGATAAAAGATTCTGCTCTGGTTTTTTGGCAGATTCTGATAACCTTTAGGCAATGCTTGTTATGGACTGTTTTTCCTTTCTTTTATAAGAAAATAACTATCATACCAATGAGTTTTAACACTCTGTAAGATTCAACTGGTGAATTTTCTAAGTTACCTTGAAGAACTCGATTTTGTGACTCAGAAATATCTCTTGAAGGGGAGTCTTTTTCAGCGCAGAATTACAATGACATAGTGTTGTCTTTTTCTTCTCCTCACCATTCTGGGCTGCTACCCAGTGAGAGCTCCTTCCCCCCCTCCCAGCTCTTCAACGCCACCACTCCAGCATGGGTTCATGCCAGACTGTGAATGAAGGAGGAGGTCCTAAACAGTCTAGTTTGCTCGTTTGATGTGAAGCACTGAGGTTTCTCTGTGTACAAGATAGTTGCTCACAAGCCCACGAGCAAAAATATTATCCCCATAAATAAGCAAATGTTGTGTCATCTCCATAAAACACACAGACATCAAAAAAATACATCTTAAATCAGGAAATATAGTGGACACCAGAAGCTGCTGCCTCTGCTCTCCCCACCGATGAGATTTATGTGCTGCCTAAGTACCATATTTGGGAAAGAGACTTTTCTGCATAAAGAAGATTAGTGTTAGTTGTTTAAGGGCTTGGGGGGAAAGATTTACCATTATTACCAACCCCAGTGAAAAGAGTGAAAGCCGGTCATATTCTAAACACTTGCCAAGTTAGGAAAACGTTAATTGAGTCAAGCCACACACCATATGGGGGAGATTAAGAAGTGTGGGGGTCATGCAGTGAATGACAAAGATTAGGTGACCTCGGAGAATGATAGACGATTGAGAGAGATTAACAATACTGAGCTCAGCTGGAGAATGAGGGTAATAGCGAAGGCCTGACAGCCATGATAATTATGCAACTTCACAATTATACAAAATTAAAGTCTTTAAAAGTTAAAGAAATTCAGAAAAACACAAGTGGTGCCCGTGGCAATAAAAGCGGAGAGCGGGGAGTCCCGAGGTCTAAATTTTAAAAAGCTATATTTATGATGCAATCTTCTAATCCATTGGAGGAACAAAAAACTAATGGCAGAGAAGAAAAGAAGTAGTAATCTTTAATTTGCTTCCAAACACCAGCTCATTGTTGCAGAGTTGCGTCAGAAATCAAAGGGGAATAATGCAATGGGAGCAATGGGATGCACTTGAGGCTAATAGAGGTTGAAGGAGGTCTGGCCCAAGGTACAAGTGAACTCTGTGACAGCCGAGGGTCCCTTGGTTGCTTTAGAGCTCCTTACACCAAAAAATTGCCAAATGTGCCGTTAGTTCACTTTCATGTGAAATCCTTCATAGTTTGAGAATTATTTCCAACACAGTCCTACTTTTAAGCTGAGTTAATATTTTTTTCCCTGAGTTGGAAAAACATTTCATTCACACCTTAACTGAGTAATTATATTTTTATCTGTTTGAATGTAATTGAAAAAGAAGCACAATCATGGACAAGGTAATGGTGGGTAAGCGATGATGCGGTGGGCCCCAAATTGAATTAGGCTTACAACCTTGAGCCGCTTTTCAGCGTAAAGGCTGCTTACTTTTCTGTTTTGTCTATTTCACACTGCTATGCTACAAAAATATGTTTTTTTTTTTTTTTTTTCTAGAATATGCTGTACGATTCAACTGATGATTAACTAATTCATCCATTTCACTGCAGGCTATAATGTCAACATGATGGCATAGGAGCGAGAGAAGGGCATTGGCAAACAAAAATGGATTAGCATGATTTTGAATAAAAAAAAAAATTATGTCACAGACCAGCCAACAGCTGTACCTATAACAAAAAAACTGCTAGTTATGCTACAGTGTCATTGTCTTTTACATAAACATTCATATTTAACTGGTATAAAATCGTTAGTGTTTCTGAGTGTTAAAATATCACATTATTGACAGCAGAAATGTTTTTACTGTAGTTAGAATCTGTCTTTATGTAAGTGTTATGATTGATTTTTGTTCATTTCTCCTCATATATAAAACATGCAATGTAATAATGCCACAAAATGTCCTTTATTACATTTTAAATTATTGAACAACCCCCAGGCTTGTTAAAAAAAACAATGAAAAGTCATACACTAAAAGAGGTAATGAGTGCACAGTGGAGATTACTTTTAAAAATGACTCTATATAACTTACCAATTCTCAGGACTTGCTGCGAAGTGAGCCGAAGCTCCCCCATAAAATACACCAGTGAAAATAACAGACCCGTTCTTTTCACCATGGTCAGTCCTCCAAATTTGAATTTAACATTGAGATCAAGTTGTTTATTTTGTCCTCAGTAATTCATGCTGATAACTTGCCAGTCCTTGTATCCATGGCGAAAATAAACTGGAATCCATCCCTCATCCATTCCTCGCACATTGTGAAAAACAAAACAAACCCAATAATAAAACATATGTGTCACAGTTTATAGCTGCAGTTGCCTCTAATCAAAAAAAAAAATCCCATTCTAAGGTCTGTTATATGGCTCCATTCTTTTACTTTCCAGATTCATTCTCAAAGCAAATTTCTTATGTTTTCCCGGTGAACACTTGAGTTGTAAGCTGCGACGGAGGAGGAGGACCGTGCACTGTGCTCCTTCTGTCAATTGTGAAAGACTAGAAAACTCTTTGTCAGAAATTTTCAAAATAAAAGTTAGAGAATAACATGTTACGATACAAAAGGAGTCAAATCCTAACTATGTTTTGAGATAATATGTCAGACAATATCTATTAATTATTTTAATTTAATTCTGAAAGACTAAGTCAAAGTCTACATTTCTTAAATAATGATCTATCTGTATCATGTAATTTTGGAAAATCAGCAAAATATGAATGCTCTCTAATTTTATTCTTATCTCTATTGTGGACATTATTCTGTTTTTTTGTTAAGTGTATTTATAGTTGAAGATATAAATTTGGATGTTTATTTTTGGACATTCAGATTTGGAACTTTTTTTGATTTTCAGCTCAGGGTTGTTTTTTAGAACTTTTTTTTTTCTACCTCTACTTTTTAAATTATGTTAAGACTCTAATTATTAGAGAGACATCTCTGCATTCACCCTAGCTCAGTTTAGTGTTTATATTAATGCTTTTATTCTGAAATCAAGGTCTGTCTTGTTTCTGTTCTAACTGCATGTGCCTTTGGCTGATTTGACACTGCCAAATACCCCCACCACTACCACCACCTCCACCCCACACAGTCGCTCGATTGAGGGCACAGCCAAGCCGTTGATCTCCAAACATGGATACGTCCTGAAGATTAACTTCAAATCTGGCAACATTCGACCTCAACAACATCTTTGCTTTGGTACACCGAGGAATGATTAAATCTTTGCTTCAGTCCTGATGGAAATGCAAATTTAATCCACAAACTGCATGGAGATGCTCCCGATAAGATTAACTATCTCAGACTGCTTATATGACACCTTATTTAAGTTAAATGCAATATGTTAGTGTTACTTTATTTCAATCTGTTTTATTCCTTAAAATGGTGATTTGAGAAAGAATTTTGTTAGACCCATTGGTCCTGATGCATATTTTAGCCCTTGAAGCATTAGAGCTAAAATGCTTGTGCCTCATTTATAATTAGATGAAAACATAAATACATGAGGTCTATATATTTAATTTAACCTGTGGGTAATTAAATAAACATAAGATGAAATCATAATTTTCTGACTTCGGCAAAAATCCAAATTTACAAGAAAAACAATTTCATACATACTTGAGTAATGTATAAACTTGTTTGGTATTTCTAAATGATTCATCTTATGTGTAGTTTCTATCTAGAAACTAATCATGGAACAGAGTGGATGATTGGATGATTATTCCTCTAACACTGGTTTCATAACATTTAGAGATATAAAACCGTGTGTCCAAGCTCACATTGCTTTCTTTTGGTGTCATCTAGTGGTTTAAGTTTAGAAGTACATGGGTGGTTTCTAAATGCATAATTATTGTATTTTTACATATAATTATGTATTCTATTAGAAGAGTTACAGTAACTTAGCTTTCATAGTATGATTTTATAGTATAGTATGACAGTATAATTTTAAAGTACAGAATATACTGATTGGGTCAAATGTATTGTTCAGATTATAACCATAAATTCACAGTTTGCAGATGCAGTCTAAAATAATGTTCTATATACATTAAATTACATCATAGATCATGTTTGCTTACAAAGGAAACTGAAATCTATACAAAAGTGTTTCATAAAGATTCAGAAACGGTAAATAAACATAATACAGAATAGTTTTGTAAGACTGTCAGATCATGAATACAACTGCTAAATGAACAGGAATGCCATAAAATCATGTGTATACTTTAATGGTAAGCAAATGCATAAATCACCCCATATTAAATCATCTTGACGTATGTTCAGATCATGTGCATATTTTTCCCTGCCAAAATTTATAAAAAAGAAACAGTGGCTTCACTTAATAATAGCAGTTATATGCAACTGGGTCACACAAGCCATTAAATGGTGTGCTGTTTGGGGTAACATACAGTGAGAGCCCAGAAATATGAACGCTTCCAGCCTGGATATAGGATGTCGACTGGTTCACCAGGGCTTCACTGTTTGTCATTTCTGGAGCAACATTGTGAAGTGATATAGGATGTTGTACATCTAAAATGTTGCTGTTGTGAGAATTCCTAGTTGACTTGAGGGTCGAGACAGGGTGATAGCTTGTCATAGTGGGTTTGTTGTCTGAGGGGAAACATCGGCAGGTAAAAAGCAAGGCTGAGTCAAAAAGGAACGTCCCAGTAACCCAACCGATGTACAGGGCTCCTCCTATTTCTCTTTTTTGAGTATCAGTCAGTAGTGGATCATACAAATCCCTTACGATGACATGACCAGTCCATGACACGGGTATAAAAACACAAATACAGGCTATGAACTGCATTGCTCCAGCAACAATTAGAATAATTGTTTTAGCCCATTTGCTACCTTGAAAGCAGGAAGTGCATTTCATCCCTGCTAAAGCTACCAAGAGCCCTAACCCTGACAAGGCTACTGAACAGCACATCAGGCCTCTTCCAGCTTGCAGATCAGGGGACAAATGCAACAAGGAGTCATACACCTTACACTGCATCCTGATGTTTGCCTGACTGTAGCAGTTCATCCACAATCCCTCCCAGCGTCTCTCCATCTCAGTTTTGTTTTCTCCACTGGAAACCGTGACCTTCCACATTGGCAAGCTGGTCGTAGCAGACACACCAATCAGTCCAATCAGGCAGGTGCAGATTGCAGCGATCTCAGAAAAACCTTCAGTCATTGTTTCGTATTAAAAAGTCCCTTTCTAACATTTACAGCTAATTTTTTTGTAATCCTTAGCACAACGTTTGAGAGTGAAAGGACACGTCTTGAGGTGAAGATATGTTTAGTGCAATGAGAATCTTTTCCACAAACTTGTTTGGTGTAAAAACCTGCTTGTTATGGGAAGATGCTGTGCAACCCCCTGATTGGTTCAGGGAGATTTAGGTAAATACAGCACCTGTATGTTTTGTGTTTATGAAACACCAGCAAATGGAAACATGGCATAGCACTAGTTTTTATTTCTTTCAGTTCAAAAACCATCCATAACCTCAGGAGCTCTTCTTGCATTTATATGTTTTATAGAAGTTGCTCTGTTAGCCATAAGTTTTAATTTTAGTTTAATTTGTAATGCTTTTTGAACAAATTTTACTGTTGACAAAACATTCGCCTCAAGTATGATTATTTGCTCTACTTAATTGGAGGAAAATTGCAGTTTGAACATTGGAACTTGACCTCTTCAGTTCAATGGAGTGCCATTAAATTTCCACCAGCTATGGAGACCACTGGCTCCTTCCCACACTTGGCTGTTTCCCTTATTCACTTGGCACTGCCTACTATGGTGGAAATTGTGATGGTGGATTTTAGGTGACCCTGCCCAAAATATGGCATGCATTAATATGTAGTTCAATTTAGTATCAATTTTGAAAGAAAAACAAATCAAGTGGAAAAGAATATAAATCAGTGGACGACTATTTGATAGCCTTACAGCAATTGTCAGAACAATGGTGTTCTGACAATCAGGTAAAGACGATATGCTTATCATGTTTTTACATATTAGCTGCTCATGAGGGAATAGCATTTGAATATTAGTTTCTTCAGCAGTAGAAACAAATAATCATAGTGCCAAAGTAAAAAAATGACAACCATAGGAATGAATTAAGAAGGTCTGTTTTTTTCTGTAATTATGTCTGTTACAAAACAAACATTAGCACACAGTAAAATAGACAACTCAAGACTTCTTAAACACAACTCACTTTCCTTTTTTTCCCCACTGGGGAGCAGAGAAGAGCTTTGAGTTAATGAGATAGGAGGTTCTTAGTATGTTGAATAGGACCGGAGTTTCTATTCAAGATTCACTCAATGTTTTCTGACATTTAAAATGAAATATTGACAAACTTTGATATCTGTTTGTACTATATTAAGGTTGCTTGAATGTATTTTCAGTGTCAATTTTATACATTTTTTCCTTTTTTTTTTATAAAAGGTGGTGAGAAAGACGAGTATGTACAGCGCTATCCCTCATGGATAATGGTGAACTCCTCCTCCACAACATCTTGATGGGGGAGAAAGAGGCTAATTCCACTGCATTTGAGGTCTGAGGAGATATTTTGTCCTCACTGCCATTAGGGTGCACAATACCTTTGATTGTTGATATTTTTATTGTATTTTTTGCGCTTTTGGGCTTAGACTTTCCTTGTGGAATGATATTTCTGTCTGTGAATCTATTTTAGTTTTGTTTCAGTTTGAGTAATAACCAGGGAAAATTCTTCATTCATCCTTCATTCAGCTCATTCGTTCTGTAACACCCCGTGGTTGTCGTAGAAGCACCAGCTGTTGTGGCTTCGACCTTGTAGAAGTCCATGATGACGAGGTCAAGTATCCTGGACATGTTTAGGGCTGAAAATGCAAAATATATACAATCATCTTTCTGAATATCCAGTCTCTTAGCTGGTTGTTCCTCACTCAATGTACATCAAAACAAACTAATCAGCAAAGGCCACAGCACAGGATATAAAACCTCTTGCAAGTGGTCTATTGAAGCTAAAGGCCAGCAGTTTCTTTGTTGGATTTTTTTGTGTCATATCAATGTACCAAATTCAGATCCTTTTTTTAACCTTTTTTGGGTGGCTGTGCAATAGTCAACAACAGTAGACACCACTAATATTTTGTGATATTGTAGACATAAAGTGCTAACAAAATGTATGTTTTTAATTTGTTTTACATAATTATTTGTGTGTTTCAATAGTTTGTTGTCACCATTAGATTTTCATTTACATTTTGGACCTCAGGTCAATCTGTAAGAAAGAAGTGAAGCATTTACATATCGGAATATCCTTTTAATAAACAGTCCAAATTTACACATAAAAAAAATCACACTATTGTTTTTACATTGATCCTAAATCTCAAACATTTTAAATAATTTCCAATAATAAGTATTGATCAGTCTGTATTCTTAAACTTATGGCAAAAAAATTACAGTAATAAATATTGATTCATTTTATTCTTACTACAAATTTACTATATACAATAAACCAAAACAATCAAAAAATGTGAAAAAGTAAAAAAGCACAATACAATAAACTTAAGTTCCCAAGAGCAGGTTTAATACATTGAAGAAATAAACCCATATCAGAATTATGTTGATCTTAAGTGGTGTACAGTTCAGGACAATTTCTTTTTTGTGAACTTTTACATATAAGCTTACATAAGTTTACACATAAACTTTACATCAAATGTACACTCCATTGTGGCTGAGGCTACGAGACTCTGGGTGAACCATGGATTTCTTATAGGCTATGAAAACAGGACTTTGTGCAACAGGATGAAAGCTTGACTGGAACGATGAAGGTGTATTGCTGGTGTAAGTTGTTGTATACAGAGTGGGGTTTTGGGTCACATATAAAGAGTTTCCTGGAGCGTATATGCTCCCAGTGTGGTTAGAACTCCACACTGAAGATTGATGAGCCATGCTTCTTTGATAGAGGATTGATGCATTTTCAGGAGGACCAGGATTGTAGATAATAGTTGGGTTCATCAGGGCTCCATTGCTTATTACTTGATTGACATTTTGTGGTGGGAAAAAATGTTGTTGCCCAACCAAGCTGTTGCTGTGAAAAGAACTTTGTTGTGCATTTGACTGGATGCTTGGAACGCTGGAGATGGGGTGATATCTTGTCATTGCAGGTCTCTCCGCCTCTGTCCTGTAATTCAGCAGTTTAAGTGGCGGATGAACATCAAATGATCCTCTTTCTGAGGGTATCCGTCTACAGATAAACAGTAAAGCTGAGGCAAAAAGTAAGGCTCCAGTCACCCAACCGATATAAAGAGCTTCTCCCAGCTCTCTCCTCTCGGCATCAATCAGCAGTGGATTGTAAAAATCACTAATAATGACATGACCAGTCCATGACACCGGTATAAAAACACAAATACAGGCCATGAACTGCATTGCTCCAGCAACCATTAGAATAATTGTTTTAGCCCATTTGCTACCTTGAAAGCAGGAAGTGCATTTCATCCCTGCTAAAGCTACCAAGAGCCCTAACCCTGACAAGGCTACAGAACAGCACATCAAACCCCTGGCAGCTTGCAGGTCAGGGGGCAGATACAACAAGGAGTCATACACCTTACACTGCATCCTGATGTTTGCCTGTCTGTAGCAGTTCATCCACAAGCCCTCCCAGCGCGTCTCCATCACAATGATGTTTGCTCCAATGAAAGCGGTGACCTTCCACATAGGCAAGCCGGTCGTAGCAGAGGCACCGATCAGCCCAACCAGTCCAACACCCATCGCTGCGATCTCAGAGATGCCTCGAATCATTGTTTTTTTATATCAAGACTCCTATGTGTAAGTCCAAAATTTTTATAATCTTGTAGGCAGAAAAAAAGAGAAAAAATGGGTACTGTCAATCTTTAACAGGATTTTTGAAGAAAAAAATGTATTTAAAGTGAAGGTCTGTCCAGGCAGTGAGGCTTTGTCCCAACTGTTTGCTGAAAGAGGCTGTTTGTTATGGGAAAGATGCTTTACCATCACCTGATTGGCTTGGAGAGATGCAGGTAAAGAGGATGTGTTCTTATTTTGTGTTTACAGGTAAGCAGTTCATGTGGGTAGAACACTGATCATTTAGCTCAAGCATAACTTCTGAGTAAAAATAATGCACAACTCCAACAATTAACAATGTAAAATTTTTATTTAAATGTGATAAATGTCATATAAATCAAACAAAAATCAGTATTCTGGAAAAATAACAACTGTGACAGCTTTCTGCTTCGTCCACCGGAGAGCAGAGTTGAGCTTTGAGGCGATGAAATAAGAGGTTGACAGTATGAAAAAACATATATTTTCTGTCATATTAAGACCAATGATATAAGATTACATTTGAAATTGTATTTGTTTGAAATAGCAGAACACACATGCAAGTATTAACATTTCTTTGTATTTAAGGAAGGAAGAAAGAAGTTGTGCTTCTTCTAGAAATTTAAATGCTGTGACCTTTAAGCTTGATCATTTACACACCTTAGAGAGAAAAATATATTTCTAAATTTGAAGCTTAACAAACAAAATAATAGGGTTAGACTAAATTCAAAGTGACTTGCATATTCTGGTCATATGATCCCTTTGTTTACTTGGCTTGCTTGAGTTAACTTTGCGTCCACGCCCATAGTGAGAAGTGTTATCTGAGAATCTCTTGTGCTTCCTTTTCAGTAGCTCCAAGGAAAGCATTACAGAATGCCTATCTTTAGTCAATATTCAGATTAAATAGACTTGAATTTTTATTTTTTTTTACATAGCTATTAGTCAGTCACTCTTTTAACTTGTACTTTCTAAGTCATTATGGGACACCTGCCATTGTTTGAATTTGTAAATAACACTGGGTGAAACTGGTACCGGAAGTTTGGGGAAAACAAAGGCCTTATTTAGGTTTGTAATTCTGGTGAAGTTTTGGCTCGTAGAACAAAATTTCAAATGTATTTCTGTCACTTAAACTACATGGATCATACGCCAGCAATAAAATACATTTCATCAGTGAACACACACACTTCAATTACATCACCAAATGGTTGAAGACTGCATAAGAGATATACACAACATACTGATTTTTAAAAAGAGGATGGATTTGTATTGTCTGTTCCAATCTTCATGTCTGATTCCTCAATAAAACTGTTTGACAACATACAGATTTTCAATATTTCGCCCCATTTTAACAATACAAGTATAAAATTTCACTTGCACAAACAAATATACATAAACACGAGTGGTTATCTCTTGCAACCGTCTAACCTATTTTAAACTGTTTTTTTGGGGGGGTGGAGGGTTTAAAAAAATATAAGTACAGTTAATTGAATACATTAAGTGTATTGACATTTCACCTCTAAAAATTTAAAATAAGTGTTTTTACCTTGTACCTCCATGCCAAGAAAAAAAAAAAAAAAACATTTTAAGGGTTCACAGATAAGCAACTCCACTGTGCACAGAGGGGTATCTAGATTCGTAGCTGTAGACGGTTGACGGATGTCTTGATAGCATTGAGTGAGGTTCGGATCGAGGGATAAACACAAGCTGCTGAGGCTGTAGAGGCTGGGGTGGTGGCTGTGGGGTGTAGGCCCTGTACCCTGGAGATTTTAAGTACATGTACTTCTCTGGTTTTTCGTCTTCAGACTGTATATTGCAACAGATAAAAATGCACCCTCCAGCAAACAAGAAAGCAGCCGCCACCCATCCAATATAGAGAGCTTCTCCGAGCTCCCTGCGCTGGGCATCGATCAGCAATGGGTTGTAGAAGTCCTGAATGATGACGTGGCCTGTCCAGGACACAGGAATAAGGTCGCAAATGCAAGCCATTAAAATCATGGTTCCTGCAATGATGAGGACCAGTCTCTTGGCTCGATCGTTGTTCCTGATGCACGCTGTACACTGCATCCCGACCAAACTGATCAGCAGACCAATGGCAGCCAGAGCCAGAGAGCAGCACATTAACCCTCTTGCAGCCTGCAGGTCTTGGGGTAGGGCCAGCAGAGAATCGTAGACTTTACACTGCATCCGTATGTTGGCTTGGCGATAGCAGTTCATCCATAAGCCCTCGTAGCGAGTCTCAAACACGATGATATTCTCCCCAATGAAGGCTGTGACCCGCCACATTGGCATTCCAGTGCTTGCAGCTGCTCCAATCAGACCAATCAGGGACAATAAAAGTCCCACTATTTCCAATGTTGAGTTGGCCATCCTGTATCTTGACACTCATCCAAGTTCATAGGCGTAATAGCAGTTGGACAATATTTGGATATAGCTAAGTGCAGTAATTTCTTTCTGTTGGGAGGCAGTTCAGTCAGATGGAGGAGGAGCAGGTGGTTGTTCTCTTGTACAACCTCTTCCCACTGGATGTTATAATGGGAAGGGGTGGGAATTTGTACCTGTAGCTAGGAGACAGAATCCTTTGTGTTTTTGACCTCTGTACACCAACACCAGTACGCTGCTACTTTGATTATTCAGAGGTGTCCATTTACATTCTTGGATATCTCTTTACAAGAAAGTATTGCGGACTTCTATGCAAGTCAATGTTTTTTTAATAATATGTTAGCATTTTATCTGCTGATTTCAGCAGGTTTTATCAGTAAACTTGACTTCCAAAATTAATTTAAAAAATCTTCCCTCCTTTTTTCCTAGATAAAATGCCCTTGTTGCTGGAGAAACAAGGGCTCCAGCAACAAGGAGCCCTTGTTGCCGGAAGCCCAGGTAAAATGCATTTTCCTTATTTCTGGATAAACAGAACAGTTTTGAGCTCTTTTGAGTTAGCTTATATGTGGAGGCTTTAAAAGCACCAACTCTACCCACACTGCATCCTGACCAAACCTTATTGCTTCACATGCACACCCCCTCTCCTCTACTCCTCTTACTACGAAGGAGCAACACACAACCAGCTCTCCATCTAACAGCTAATAAGTTTCCTAAGCATGCTGAATATTAAACTGTTCAGGACTGAGAAAAACTCAACTTAAACTGACCTGCCAAGGAAGATTCTCCTGGTTTCTAACAACCTAAATCTCAGTGTCTCACCCTGTTTTCCTTCCCATAAATTAGTCGGGCTGAGAAGCCCAGCAGCCAACTAGAAACGCATAATGACTTCTAATGGAGAAATTATCTCAGGCAGGAATCAACAAAGAACAGGCAGCAGTCCTCAGAGAGGATTGTCTGTGACCCCTGTTTACTAAATAATGACAGAAGTCCTTGGTGAAGAAAAGAGTATTTGCTTTTGCCTTAGTTATTTGCCTTCGGCATCTATTGCCTTAGCCAGCAACAGAGGCTCAAGTCAGTCTTTCAAAGTCATTGAGGTTGATTTCTCATACACTAAACGGCTGACTGCAGGTCATAGATTCACTTTTTGATTTGTTGCAGGGCCGTTAGTCCGTCTTAATATGAGCATTAGGATGGACTAGTGCTCGTATCGGAAGAAAAGCCGATGCTGCTTCTACAAGCCCTGTCATTCCAGGTTAATCATAATGGCATTTATGAAAATCACATAAAACATTGTATTCAAAAAGTCCAATTTCAATCCTTCTTTTTAGTGTCCCATGGGAGTAAGAGCAAATCTCCCTCACTTTGAGAACCTATAAGTCTACCCCTAATTCTTGCTATCTAATAAAATCCACTAGTTCTTTAAATAATCTGAAAAATATATTTAAAAAAAATTAAAAACCGTGGCCTGTCGGTGACTGTCTGCTGAATATCTGTCATGACAGCAGTCCCTCCCATGATTGTGTAATCTTTAACATTTTTGTTATGTTAAACTATGCCTTAATAGAATTTTAAGTGTTTTTCAATTAATAATGTATTTTATATATTGTTTAGCTATTTTTTGCTGCTTTTTAAATTGCTTGTTATATTCTTAAATTGTATTTACACCTATTTATGTATTTTAGTTTTAATTATTTGGGAGATTATTTATTACATTCAGGTGATGGTAAACATGAATTTGTTTTCATAAAAGTTTATAAATCATGATGATATTGTGTAATACGACAACAAAAATCTCAGATTTCATACTTTAGGGCTTTTGTAGAGATAATAGATTTCAATATAGCTTCGTCATGTATTTTTAAGTTGACAGAATGTGTTCTTTCTGAATTGTATTGACAATTTCTTCTTGTCTGTCATGTCAGACTGTAGCTGAAATCTGGAAGTTTCACCTTTTAAGTTATTGAGACATAACCTTTCAGTGCCTTTGCTTTTTTTAGATGTGCTTGTAAAGCCTGCTTTTACTGGTTTGGGCACATTCCTGCTGGCAATGATTAAGATGACACACCCGTAAGTGAAACAACAGGACTTTCGGCAGGAAGATCTAGATTCCCAGACAAACAAAAGCTTTTGAAGAAATGATTGTTGGGTCAAAGAAATAAAACTGATGAAAACAAGCAACTTTTATTATTTATTTTATTTTTATTTTGTATAGCAACTGATAGTTTGTCAGTATTTGTTTTGAACAAAGTATATATACACAATCTCACAAGTAAACAGAAGTTACCTACAGGTTTGAAACAAAGCTAGTTCATAATTTTAACTCAAATGAGTATGCGTGCAGATTCTGTAAAGACATCGTTATCACATTGATGCATTACACCCACACAATAGGTGCAATAAAACAAAGACAAGCGTTTCAGCAAAGGTCTTCATGATCAAACTCAATCACAATCATAAAACATTTCAGTCTTAGCAATAGACTTTTTAAAGTAATTAATGTGCCTTGTGTAGTTATCCCCGGTCTTTGTCACTCCATCATCCTTTTCATTTGAGCAGTGTTTTTCCGGTTTAAAAATCAAGTCCAGAAATCACCTAGTACTGACTCGGAGTATATCCCACAGATCTTGGTGGTGGTGCAGAGTATGCAGGTTGGTAGTTGTATTGTGGTTGGTTTGAGTATGGCTGGTATGTGTATACAGGTTGATAGATACTTCCAGGGTTGTATATGACCCTCTCCTCTTCTATATTGGTGCGTGGAGCATGGCGGCACAGCAGGATAACTCCAGCTGAGAAAAGCAAACCAGACGTCATCCAGCCGATGTACAGAGCTTCCCCGAGCTCTCTTCGTTGGGCATCAATCAGCAGTGGGTTGTAGAAGTCCTGGATGATGACGTGACCAGTCCAGGACACTGGGATCAGAGTAGTGACACAGGCCAAGAGGAAGAGGCAGCCTCCACTCACAAGGACAATGTGTTTTGTTCGAGCACGGTGGTCCACCATCTTGGTACATTTCATTCCCACCACTGAAACAACCAGGGCAAAGGCTGTGAGAGCCACAGAGGTGCACATGAGGCCTCTGGCTGCTTGGAGATCTGGTGGCAGGAACAGCAGGGAATCGTAGACCTTGCACTGCATCCTTATGTTGGCTTGTCTGTAGCAGTTCATCCACAAACCTTCCCAGCGAGTTTCCATCACAATGATGTTTTCCTGAATGAAGGCTGTTACCTTCCACATGGGCAAGCCAGTCACCGCTGCTACGCCGATCAGTCCAAGAAAACCAATGATGAGAGCCACAATCTCACAGCAGACTTCATTACGGCGTTTCCTCTTCTCAGCTCTTTTTTTTTCCTCGTAAACAGAGTCCTGGTAATCTGGGTTGTCTTGGTAATCTATGTAGGTCTGAGGTGGCTTCTGCAAATTTGGGTCATAGTAAGACTCAGCATAGGACATTGGTGGCTTGGTATAGCCACTGTAGGCTGTGTAAGAGGCCATTGCAGGAAGCACCAAAAGCCAAAGATGCTCTCTCTGGCTTTACTCTTACAGCTCCGGAGGCAAGTCTGAAGGAAAGAATGATGAACACAACATATACACCCACAAAAACATGTAAATGATGCAATGCAGTCTGACTGGTTCATCTGTCCTGCACCCATCAGATAGGTGGTAACAAAGGAGTACTCCTTGTTCAATTGCAAATGAAACTGCTCTGACTTTCAATCAACTGTTTAGTGATGTTTTGTTTTGTTTTGTTGTTTTATATGAAAAGTGCAAGATAATACATTTCTTTTTTTAAATATTAGCTGGAGAATGAAAACAAAAATATGTAATTTACACAGGATTGGGACAGAAACTTGTTTGTATAATTGTACTCATAAAGATGTTTTTATAGGGACGTCTAAAGCCGGTCACAGATCGCAAAGCCTCTACATTTTATATGTAGAGTGAGCAGGCAAGAAGGTGTTGGATGCAGAAACATGAGGAGGATTGTTTTCACTTGCCAGAATTTCTCAACTGTTTGCAAACACATTGCAGTGTTTGTGATATATTTGTTGTGATAGCTTCAAATTAATCATTTTCAGGTGCAAAAAAGTAATAATTTTGTTACTGACCTTGAGATGGTTCTTTCTATTAGACCTCTTTGACCTCTCAGAACTTTTTAACCTTAGCTTATTTGACGTTAAAGAAGCTGTTTAATTTGCCAAGTTTGTTTTGGAACTGTAGCCCTGATGGTGGCAACCAATGTCAAAAACTGAACTCAACTTGCCACATAATTTTATAAAACTCTTATCAGGTTGTAGCTAATCAATTTTGTATGAAGCAATGGTGGTTAATAAGTTTGAACCCCAGGAGAGGATCCTGATAAATATGAGCAAACAATAAGTGTGTTCATTATATACTCAGGCTTGACGTGTGATTCAATGATACAACTTCATATCTACCAGTTTCATTGTACATCAATAATCCAGTCTGGATAAATGGATTATATTTTCTTAACACCTAAAATATTTGACTTGTACTGCTGTAACTGTAGGTGTCTTAAAATATAATTTTTCCTAATAAATGAGTAATTAAGGGCACCCTCAATTTCAATTTCATCTAATCTTAAAATTTTGTCTCAAAGGGTTTTGTTTGTGATGACATGAGAAATATTTTTTAACATTTATCATTTCTTCATAAAATAACCTACCTGACAAGCAGCTACTGACATTCCAGGAAAGTTACATCTAATGCCTAATTTATAAAAAAAATATATATATAAAAAAAGAATTTAAAAATATTGTAGATAATAGTGACTGCTCTCTGAGGTTAGATATGTTTGGTCTGCTATGTTTTATGTAGATATGCGTGGAAACAATTAGACACATGTTTGACTGCTTCAATATTATTCAAATGCAATCAGCATTACTTCATCCTCTTTTAATCACATGTATTTGTTTTCATAACATTAACATATAAATTACGCATTTTTAGAATATATACTTTTATAAATGCTATTTAGTATACAGTTAAATTCAAATCTTAGTAAGCTACCTCAGATAATAGCTCTTTTGGAGTAATTAGGATTAAACTGAGGCCTGTTTTTGTTTTATTTCTTAATTTAGACAAAATTTTCCTTTTGAATACTCTGGCTTTTATTTGTAAATACATAAATAGTAAGTTTATTATTGTTATATTAATTGTTACATTAAGCATGTAAGTATTATATGCTCAATGCAATAATAATAATATATGTTTTCATGTTATGCAATAAAACCTTAAGTTTACTATGTACTATTAAAATTATTTATTTTAAAATATAAATGACCTCTCTTCTTTGAGGAACATTGATTGCTTTTATTAATAGCAATTACTAATAGAATGCTTCAGACTGACAGCTCTAATCCAGTGCAGTCAACTAAGTTGGTTAAATGACTGCTGACTGACTCACAAACTTTTTTTAATGTACACTGACCTATGTTGAGATGGAAAAGCAAATTCGTCAAGAGCAGCTCACCAAAATTAGTTTATTAGAACACAAAAATGTCAAGGACATGCAGAGAGATAAGTGCATTTGTTAAAAATAAAAGTAAAAGAAAAAATACTCATATTAAATGAATACTTTTTCATGTACAAAATTGGTTGAATGGTAAAGAACATTTGTAGCCAGTACTGCTTGTAAGAAAGTAGCCACACCTTCATTTTGATGGGCATGTGCAAGTCAGCTTGTGTAGTTTTTCTTAGGCTATGCAATTAAATACATTCAGCAGAAAGCAAAAATGTACAATTATTTACACATATTCTTGAAATTTATGCAAGCCGGATCCTGTCTGGGCGAGATATACAGTGTCCTCTTTGATGGCACTCTTTTCCTCCATATTGTATACATCTTGGTAGAGGTCTTCTTCTTTGGATCTTCGTTTGCTGTATCGGACGAGCAGGATAATTCCATTTGCCAGTAACACACCAGAAGTTCCCCAGCCAATGAAGATGGCTTGTCCTATCTCTCGTTTCTGAGAATCCAGCACAGTTGGATTGTAGAACTGCCTGATAATCGAGTGACCCACCCAACTGACAGGAATGAGTGTGGTCAAAAACGAAATCAGATACAAACATCCCCCGACAGCCAGAATGATGTTTTTGCTCTTCATGTTGTCGCCACAACAGTTGCTCCTCTGGATTCCAAAAGCTGTGACAATCAAGGCAATGAACACCAGGGCGATGGAGACACACATAAATCCTCTGGCCGCCTGCAGCTCGGCTGGGAGAATCAATAGTGAGTCGTAGACCTTGCACTGCATCTTGATGTTACTATGTCTGAAGCAGGTCATCCACAGGCCTTCCCACAGTTCCTCCATGACTATAAGATTAGCCCCAATGAAGGCAGAGACCTTCCAGGTAGGCAGAGCTGTAACAGCTATTGTCCCAAATAAGCCAAAAAAGCCCAGGATCAGGGCTACAATTTCCAGCTTCTGTTTCATGGTTTAGTGTAAGAAGTACGTTCTCGACTTGTCTTTCTTGTCTAATGTAGGTACTACCTAGCCTGTCTGCTTTACAAGGCTCTAAATCTGATAGTGTCACAATGCATGCGATGTCACCCTGCTGGTTGGAATTATCTTAATCTTAAAATAACAAGTGTTTTCAGTAAAGGGAAACTAAACTACATTTGTCTTTCTCTTAAAAAACAAAAAGCCAGCACACTTGTCATGCATGACATGAGCAATGTACATGTGTTAAAAGACAATGGATAACCTCACAGGTCAACATTCTAGCGGCCCAGATATTCAGTTGTGACTAAATCTACAAGTATAACTTTCTGTTTCTTGCCCAGTTAGTTTACCCTTCAAAAACATAAAACATTAAAAATCAGGTGGTCGACCTGATTTAAAGGTCAGGTCGATTTTTAAATCGACCTTTAAATCGATTTAAAGAAAGAAATCTTTCTTTGCGAAAGATTCCTTTTCTTTCACAAAGAATTCAGAAGGGTGAAAGGTGACCAGCCAGAAACTTTTGTTGCAGCAGGAATTATAGTCGTGCTTACAGTGTCTGTGTTTGAGGATCCACATCCTGCTTCTATGCAAATTTATTACTGCTCATCAGACCCATCGTGAGGCTTCTAAACCTCAGAACAAAGCAGAGATGTGTGGTTTTATCATCAGGCCATCTTAAAAAAAAAATAAAAAAAAAATTACTAAGTCAAAAATGAATAGAGTATTCATACTGATGAGTGCATGTAGGTCCAAATGGATCAGTAGGTTTTTTTTCCAGTGTTAACTCACATGGAGGCAACTTTCTAAATGACTGACTTAAAGTGTGAATATATTTTCCTTTTGCTGCTCTCAGGGGGTAATTGTTCAAGATTTTTCTTAAAATGGAAAACTTGGACTATTACTAATTGTATCTATAATACTCATATATTTAGCGCAGTACTCTAAAGTGTTGTGTCTGTTCAGACTTCTGTATTTGTATTTCATTGCATGAGAATACAAACAGCGTATTTAAACAAGAGTTTTAGTTTGCTTTAACATTAAGAGACACTGTTTTAAAGCAGTGTGGAGTTTCAGGGTGGTGAAGATGAACCACTTCTTCCTTCAAACCTTATTTGGTTTAAAAAGGTGACACCCAGTCAGTCGTTTTTCTGAGAAGGAAGAGACACAAAAGAGCACCACAGGGAAAAAAATGTGGCTTGAGAGGTCATAAAACAGGAACAGAAACTGAAAAACCTGCTGAACAAGTTCTTAGGGCAATACTGTCGTCATCTGCTTTGAATGTAAACAGATAGCATCATGATGAAAAACCCATGGAAACAAAGTTAGATATGAAAAGGCAGGCTGTGTTATGAAAACTCTGTTATTGCTAAAAGTTTAGTCTGTGAATTCTAATTTCAATCCTGATTTGATCGGAATGAAATAACTAATTTCAACCAAAAAGAAATGAATATGAATGAGTGAGCAGTATGTTGTTACTCTATTGGACCCTTAGTGGACAAAAACAGCAAAATTACAGCAGGCTCAATGCGCCCTCTGGTGTATGCAAATATGACTGCAGACCAGTGTTTACGTTGATTAAAAACTACGCTTTCCAAGTACAAATATGCACAAACTGATTTTGAATTAAGTTTGCAGTACTTGAATGTTTTAGTTGGTTGTGTAATAATGACAAAAAAACAAAAAATGTTTTTTCCTGATTTCAAAAATCTTTTAATAAACCCTTCTCAAGGTAAGAATTTAATTGTGAAGGTTTGAGGTTTCTCGCAAAGCTGTCAAAAATATGTCATAAATTTCTATCTGACATTTTCTGATTGAACCTTTCCTTAAAATAGGTTCAAAATAATAATTGTTTATATTTGATATAAAGAGGAACTGAAAACAAAACAAAAAACATTAAGGTATTATAATAAAAATGGAACAAGAAAAAAAGAAATGGTATAAAATTATATTGAACAAAAATGTGCTCATATTTTAGTACTCAAATACTATAAAACTTCTGCATTTTCACTTTTGCTCATCGATAACCCAGTAACAAATCTTACATCACGTGTTTTTGATCTGTATCTATTTTGCCTCACAAAGAGACTATGTACATTCCTTTGATAGGTATATCCAAAAGTATTTTTTAGAAAATTATATTAAGTATTTTTTGATGATCAGATTGAAATAAGAAAATCCAGCCCCATTCTAAAATCCCAAAAGTAATGATGGCTACAAACTCCTGTAGCAAACTGAGTTTTATGGTTTGTATCTCTCACACACATGCGCTGCAACTTACAAACATGTTCCCTCTGGACTTAAAATTCTAAGAAACAAATTCAGTGGATGAAGTTTCACTTTGTTTAATCTCTTTCCCAGGTACTAGTTCCTATTTCTGAATTCCTAGTAGTGTGACAAAACAGAAACGCCCAACAGTGTTAGTTCCTGCTTTATTACATGAGGAGGGAGTGCTTTGTTACACTGGGAGGGAAAATCATCCACTTCACTCCTCTATTGAGTTTTCTTTAAAGCGTACTTGTAATAGAACAACTCCTCCTTTTTGCTTATCACAGTTGGCTTATAGTAAACACTATACATCCTATGGTCTAGTTTAATGTCTACTTTAATAGATAATTCCCTATATCCAGTAAAATTAATGCAAGTTCCCTTGTGAACCTTAGCTCAGAATAACATTCAGTTGGAACGGAAGTAGTTCAAATGGAATGAAACTGATGACAAATATAATGCTGTGTATACTCAAGCCTTCAAAGTGCAGATCCATTAGAATCGAGTGTTGAACCTAAAGCTACAAAGCTGTATTTTAATGACTTAAATTTTGTTTTATTATTTCTCTGTATTTTAAGGGGTTAGCAGAATTGGTAGTAGAAATGTCGAGGAATGAAAGTGGGTGATAAATAAAGCCCATAAAACCACCATCTTTTATTGTGTTTCCTTAATAGCTGTGCTTACATAAGTTGTCTTAAAATTTGTCACAAAGATGCCAAAATGCATTTGAATTACCTAAATTTGCCAGAAGCCAGGCATTAAACTATTAATTAAGTTATAGGTCATAATACACAAAGTTGCTATGGCGCGTTTTAAAATTTAAAGAGAAATCTTTATCATGATGGAGTAACCTTGTAAATGACTTGATGAATTTTTTCTGATGAAATTTATTGCCAGCTAGATAAATAATTTTTGTAAGAATTTGCATAAAAGTGTAAACACTGTAAAATGGTCTACCTGTACTTACAGTGCTAAAATATCAATGTAACAGGGTAGTAATACTAGCATCTAAAATTCATTAATAGATAAACATTGATATTCAGAATGATTTCAAAGCAAATGTGTTATGTTGCAGTTATTCCATATTTAATGGGGAGTATATTTTTTTTATTAAACTGCATTAAGAAAATAAGAGTACTAAGAGTTTTTCTAGTAAAATTATCCTTATTAAAATGTAGGGATTGATTGAAGATGTTTAATTTTATGTAGTACTGATAAACTCGGTTCTAGCTCCTCAATACTGGGATTGTCTTTGGCATTACAGTGTTTCCTCTTCTGTTGTGCAGTTGTATACAAATGCTTTGTTGCATGCAGTTAAGCATTCATTTCAGAAAACAACAGTGGTGGTTTTTGCAGGAATTGTACCCTGGGCATGCCCCTGCTGATTGCTGATCTTCAAAAGTCTGACTTGCTAATTTTTAACTGAGGTAGATAATTTTTTTATTTATCTGAGAAGTTGATAAATTGGCAACATCAGAGTGACTGTTATCTCAAGTGCAGAGCTGAGCTGGTGAGAAGACGGGACAGGACTGAAGACACTGATTTTTAGACCTTTGTGGAGGCAGATGTGATCGGTTTCAAATGCTAATATTATCCGGCCACCCGAAATGAAGAAATTTGGGGCATATTTTGTTGTGCACTCCAGACAAAACTTAATAAGCTGTTTAAAAATGGAAGCAAATAAATTAAAACACAACAGTTTTGAATTAGAAGTAGGAAACAAATGTATTTATTATGATATCAATACGTTTTATATTTACACAAAATAAAAATGCAGTCCTAGAAGCATAATGAACTTTTTTAATTATAACTTCTTTCATTGGTCAGACATCTTGCCAGTCCTTCACCTTGATTGCATGAGCAACTTTGGACTTTCTTTGTGGGAAAAAAGAATTACTAGCAAATTATTTTACACACAAATAAATAAAACCATAGCTTTGAAATCAATTACTAAAAAAATAAGTAAACACAGAAAACTTTCCAAAGAAGGAGAAGTGTAAAGTATCTACAATATTGTGTGCATGTGATATGTCAGTGTGTCTGAGCTGCAGTACTTCAGGTAGTACCGTTGGTAAAATATAACGTGATTTCACAGTAGTAAAAAAAATGACACAGCAAATACAAATTCAAGTAAAAACAGCATAAGGTTAAAAAAATTAAAACCCCATTGCTTCAGTGACATTACGGCTTTCACATCATTCTGTTATTAAATGTAACAAGAGAGCTAAAACTAAAGATCAAAATCATGACACAATAGTATATATGCATGTGAAAATGTACAGTAATCTATGCAAGACTGTCATCTGGAATTTATTATTCTATGTGTTTAAGGACAAATAATATACAGCCCTTAGCTATAATAATATCTTGAGTCACAGAGATGAAACAAATATAAATGTTCTCACAATACCCAAATTTGGCAACAGCAGGCAGGACTACAGAATGCCGCCCAAATGTGCAAACCATGCCAATCAAAGCAAGTGATTAGATCCAATGATTGTACCATTATTTCACCCCTACAAGCAAACACTTGACCGTTATAAAACAGCATGTGATTTGGGATACAGCTCCCTCATTCTGGGTTAATTATTGCTCCACAAATGATCTTACCTGTACAAAAAAGCATTCAGCATAAAGTAAGATAAAGGAGGGTGTACTGTTTCTTTTACTAGCTGTGTGATGTACATCAATGCTCATGCACGGTTTGTGATGAGTGATCGTTGTGTGGCAAACGTGGGGAGATTCCTGTCTCCTTCGGATCTTATGTGGGGC